ATGATTTATGGTAGGGTAATCTGAACAAGAAAAATGGAGAGTTCAAATTTGAAGTCAGCAAAATCCCACGTTTTAGCAGCCGAGGATGTTCGATTCTCGTCATTTTTTTTTTTTTGGCATTTGAGGGACGTCAAATTCAATAAGGTCTTCAGATGAGAAATTATTTCCCTGCAAGAAGATGCATAATTTATTACAAGATCAGAGAAGCCTGGAACTAAGTACGATCAGATAGAGCTACCTTTACATTCTCCTGGTTAAGGTTAGATGTCGCTATAACAACTGATCTAATGATCAGTCAGTATTGTTCAGATTGGATTTTATTTTTTATTTTCTGCTGCATGTTTCAGTGCTCATGAGACCATCATCAGGCAGTAATATATGATATATGATATGTTTATGACACACAACAGGATGCACACTATAAAGACTGTGCAGTACTATGATGGTGTCTATTTATCTTTGCCCTGTCCGTAACATCTGTTGGCTTATTGATACTAATTTCGCACTTAATGAATGGAATTTGCTGAAACGTTCACGGTTTTTACTAAAATGTATTTTTCCGATGAAATTAGTTTAAAATTTGACAATACATTATACCAATGCCAACATTCATTTATAAATACTTTAATTAAATTTGTTTTGGTAGACTTGTATAACTTGGTCTATTCAACCAAAAACTGTAGCTTATGAAAGGCGGATATTTTCTCGAAAATAATCTTAAAAACTTGCAGTTAAATTATGAATATAAAACGCTTCTTTCTGTTTATAACACACTGTATACTTTGTCAGCGTTACTTAAATCGTGGCACAGGAAAGTTTTAGAGATTCACCACGTGTAAGTATCTGTCTCACTTCACACATTTCTGAGAAGCAAGAAAGTTACTGGCTTCATAAATCAAAAGTTTTTATTAGCATTAACATCATCAAAGCCACAGACAAAGAGTCAGTATCCCACAATGCGATATACAAATGTGCGAGTCCTTTTTTCAATCTTATCCTTTAACAAAAGCGTAGGAGTGTACTGTTTTGTGTTTAATGGTTAATTATTGGCTTCAGTCTCAGTTATATTGCTTCTAACTACACTAGCATGGACGTCGCCTCATAAATTATTTAAAGCCTCATGCAATTCCTGAGTCTAGAGATATCAATCTCTCTCTTTCTCCCTCTATGTCTCCACAGCCCTTTGGACCTTGGCCGCTTTTTGAGTTTCTTAATCCTGTACACAGTCGGTAAGACTCCTTGGACGGGTATCAGCCCGTCGGAAGGCCGCTATCTACACACAGAACAACACAAACACAGAATAAAGGCAAACAGATATGAATGCCTTGATTGGAATTCAAACCCACGATCTCAGTGCTCGAGAGGGCGAAGACGGTTCATGTCTTAAACCGAGCGGCCACTGTGGTCGGCTTTGTGAATCCCTGGCCTAAAACCGCTATAGAAATTTAGGAAATCTCCGTCAGAGTTTTCATATTTGAAAATAATTCGAAATGATAGGTGATTCTATGTGTAAGAGATTATACGCACCATGGACTTAGTTAGTTAGTTAGTTAGTTATTTGAGAGGGTGGGTTTCCCCATGCACTTAGACCAGTATTGGTCCATTGTGCTTCCCTCTATGATATTCTACCCGTCTCTATACCTTACCGATAAATGGTGCGTACCATCAGTCCCGCCGAGCAAGCGAGTTCGGCCATTTGCTTAGCGGTGCCTATAATGTTCCCCCCATCTATCAGAGGCCTTAGAGACTATTGTTGGGCGGGAAACGTCCTGGAATTTGGCTCAGCGATCTCCTTAGGAGATATGAGGTTCTTTTACATGCCATAAAGTTACGACACAGGACACACAGCTTAAAGTCCCTCCCGGAGGACTTGTTCCCTGAATCTTTCCGCCCTTAAAAATTCGACGACCTCCGCCTGGTATTTAAACCCGCGTACCACGAGTCATGAGGTGGGAACGTTACCTCTAGACTACGGAGGCAGCTCACCATGGACTTAATCTTACGAAGTTCAGTACTGGGAAATTGTGTTCACCTTCTAACTCCTTAGAATTATACTGTATCTCTGTCTTCAGTATCTTGAACTACAAAGATTATCTTCCTCCACGTTGCACGAAATTTTAGGCTTTAGTTGTTGCTACAGTGAGAGAAGCTTAAATTTATAATTTTGGTTACCACGAAAATAATAACGGCTTTATATACCACCTCTAGAGACGGCCATTCGCTTGATTATATGTGGCCACAGAGATGGAAATTCACAGAGCTTGTATCGCACTTGAGTGATCCTTGTTTAAACAAGACTGAGTGGCTGGTTTGATCACGGCAGTTTTGATGTTTCCACAGTTTCTGTATTGATAGCTGGGAGGTGTACTTTAAAATAGACTGTAAATTATATTACGCCGTGTTCAACGACTCTGCTCATCTGTTGAGATAACAAAACTGTTTGAATGAGTATGAGACAAATTTCATTAACCTATTCTTCGTAGTCCCTAAAGAACAACATGAATCGAATCTTCCACCACAACTAAATTTGTCCCTCATAAATACTTTTAAACTAAACTCAAGTTTAATTGAACTCAGCATTAAGATCTGTGGAAGAAACCTGCCAAAATATTATTTGAACTATCAGGATAATGTGAAGGATATGAGGCACCTCTCTGAAGTGAGTACTCGTATGCAGAGCGATTCGTAGGATCTGCTGAACTAAATTGAGGTTACATATGAAATATGTTTGAGGTATGAACTGAATTTTTATGTATTGTCACTTGTAAAAGGTTTCCTGAATGACTTACAGACGGGTTATAAACTAGATGCTTGAATTTATTGACATCTTACACACACCACTCGGAACTACAGGCAGTTACAGTACTATCGCTGTTCTACACACTTAACAGTTCATCGTTGCACGCACGCATGCACGTACACACTAGGGTTCTTAGCCTTCACTAGTCGTATCCTGGCAACGGATTTATACAGTCTTCTGTAATTTTAGTTCACACATGAAGCCTTATTTTCACAGCCTAATTCCTTTCTTGTCATTATTCTGCAACTGCCAGCTCAATTTCATTCCTCTGCTCCCAAGCTCATGTCCTGGCAGGCTGGTGTTTCGAAAGTCGACTACCTCTTCTCAACTGAAATACTCTTTGTGATTACTTTGCACGGACCATGCAAAAACACAACCACTATATTGTTGGAAGGCATATTTACAGCGTCGTTGCAGAGCAAATGAAGTTATTCGGTTGTTGTTTGCTTATTTATTACCGCAGGAATGTGTTTAGCTAGCAGATGCCTAACAATGAACGCCTCCTCTGATTTCATTATTCCGGCTTTCGATCGTCATGTCACGGTATTATATAGGAGAAATTCCGACTTCGAAGGGTTATATAACAGCAAATGTAATCTGTTCCTTGTGAGATATGAACTTAATTATTATGTACTAAATAGGTAAATTTCGTCCTTTAAAGGGTTAATATACGTATACACTTCAAGATTCTGTTCCATAAAATTCGTTTCCATTATATAATTATTATTAACATATGGGCTCCGTTTCGCTTACTCAAAATCCAGTCATAACTTCTAGTGGTGAAAAATACAAAATACCGGTTTTAAGAAACTCTTCTAAATAGCAATTCATCTTGAAAGTGAAGCCAAAGAGAACATTTTTGGCAGATCCACATACTGACGAAATGTTTATGCCTACTGCCCGTAACCAATGAGTGCATCGGTCTAGCGGCAAGATGTAATGCCGTAATTTCACACAACATCCTTACAGTTTTAATGCATAGACAGGCTCGATAATACTGCAAAGCGTTACAATCTCTCTTAAATTTATTTTATATACTTTTTTCGTATGAGGAATTCCCGATTGATTTTTAGATTGTAATGGGTTCTGACGATGGGGTATAAAATTCAGAATCACTAGGTATCTGAAATTTATCCATCGTCAGGTATTCTAGAAACCAGAAAACACCATGTTTCGGAAAATGAATCTGTTTTTATCCTCAGGTGAGGGGGAAGTGGAAGATATCTAACCATTCTGGCCCCTTAGGAAGAGCTAACCTCAATCAGTTAGCTCTTTCTAAGGGACCCAGCAGAGTAGGTGTCTTCTCCTCCCCCCCTCACCTGAGGGCGGAAAGAGATCCAGTTTCCGAAACGTTGCTTTTTCTAGTTTCTAGAATACCGGACGACAGACAAAGTCCATAAACCTAGTGATTCTGACCACTGATTCTTTGTTAGTGACCATGTGATTTCTCTGATACTTCATACATTGACTTAGAAATAGTACACATAAAACTACAAGGAAGAAAAAATTAAAAGAATTAAGATATCGCAGTCAAGTTGTTAAAAATAATATTAATAATTTGTATGCATCTGGAATACCAATGCGTCAGAAAGCTCTCTCGCTAAATCCTGTACAAACCAGTCACCATGACCCTCGAACTAACCCTTTTGACTGAAGTGTAGTCTTGATGAGAACAGACTCAGAATTTTTAATACATGTTATTTTCTAGATGTTTTCTTCACGTGCATGGAACAAAAAATTATGCGGTTTATAGAAAATCAAAAAATTATCTCGTGTTTTCGACGTATTTAGGAAGCTGGCTTCTTTTAATTCATATCTCTAAGACTTTTACGACGAGAAATACGACGGGACTTTTTTCGAGGGAACCAATCATTCATTCATCAATGGCTCTACGAGAGGCCCTGGTCTCTTGTTCCATTCCATAATCCTTTTTTCAGAGACGGTAGGACTCCTTGGACGAGTGATCAGCCGGTAGCAAGGTCGCTACCTAAACACAGGGCAACATAAATGCAGAATAAACACACACGCAGACATCCGTGTCTTGAGTGGAATTCGAACCCACGATCCCAGAGTTCGAGCGAGCGAAGACCGTTCATGCCTTATACCGCGCGGCCGCTGTGATGGGCGGGAACCAGTCATGAACACCCAACTAGAGAACTGTAAACAGAATTGTTTAACATGATGTGTTCCACTGTTGCAGGAGGAGCGCAGACGTACCGGCAGGTATGTGGCTGTCACTCTTGTCGTCATAGCCTGCCTCCTTGGGTTGCATCATGCTTTCGTCAAGCAGAACGTGGTTCTCGCTGGTCTCATAGTGCCAGCCCTCATCATGGTCTTCTACGTCCTATGGGTGCTGCATACCGCCAAGAAGTCCAATTGCAAGCTCTCCGGTTTCGAAGTAAGTTATTTTTAATGGCTGTGCCATATCTTAGGCGGTTAGTCGCCGGCTTCGAGATTCGAGACAAGGTCAGGACATATGGTATTTGTGATGGACAAAGTGGCACTGGAGCAGATTTTCTTCGAGTACTTCGGTTTCCTCTGCCAATTCTCATTCCACTGATTGCTCCACACTCATCTACCATCCGGGTCTGGTACAATAGGTCAGTTAGGCCCCCCATACACACACAGTTTGGCCTTCCGATCGACCTTACAGGCAAAACTGTGACAGTTTACCCCTTCCCTTTCCTCCCCATACACGCGCAGATAAAGCGGCAGGCTTCATGCCACAATCACGGTCTTCCAGCCTATAATGTTGAGTCACACACGTCACGTGCTACGGTCCTGCAGGCAGAACTGACGGACTGACGGGTTTCCCACAGGCCAACAGTCCAAACGATTGGCCGGCCGACCGCACCACACACGTCAGTTTTGCCTTTCAGTCTTCAACTGTGCAGGCCGAACTGGAGGCCAAACTGTGTGTGTATGGGGGCCCTTAGTGGCCGACGTACCAAGTGGACTCAGTCTCACCCCACCACAAGAAACTAAGAACGTTATTCCTATACGGTGTGTTTTCTGAGAAGAAGCGGCCTGATATCATTCGAACTTACCTCACTTTGCATATTCAAGTTACAGGGGATGGGAGATCCACAACAAGAATCATAGCTTACATTTTAGTGATATGGGGCAGCTCTAGTGCTCTAGTGGATATGATGTGGGGTTGGCCCCAGAACCGGTCTGGGCGACCTGGAGAAAATAATAATCTTACCCTTACCGGGACTCGAATTCCGATCTCTCGTCCTTCCAGCCCGTAAGCAGTCGCTATTCCGACTGCGCTGTTCCAGCTAGTCAAACGGTCAGGTACATTAGTGAATGTGAGTGGCGACAAGAAATTCTAGATAAGTATTGTCGCGTGTTTGCTAGGCAACGCGACAAGAAATTGTGTGAGTTCTCGGATCTGAAGGAATACCTTTATTGGACAGTTACCTTTACACTCAAACTCACAGTTATTCTCCACTTATAGCGTCCTTTAGACGTTTCTTCTTCAGTGTTACAACACATCTGCTCTAGTTGGATAAGAACGCTTCTGTTTTAGTCGGATAGGAACACTTTCCTGCTAAAGTCGAATACAAACTCTGCCGGTCTCTGGCCTACGTTGGACTCTTATAAAGGGCAATAAGGCTCAATAGGGAATAACTTGTTGAATGGTTAATGCCGCCCACTGTTGCGCAACGAACGCGGGGATACGTGTCTGCCTTAAAATATTCGTGTATAACGGTGGAAACTCCACTGTTAGACTCTCATTTCCGGGCAACGATTTCCTAGGCTTCGCTGCCTAGTAATTGCTAGCGGTTGTAAAGCAATGGATGCGTTCTTATTCCAAATATTCCGGCCCTAGGCGGCAAGCCACAGTATATAGACAGCTAAAATGAAATTTCTTTTAGAATTTACAGTAACGGCGAGGAACCGGGAAAGCGCAGTCGCTATAGCGACTGGCTATGGCCTAACAGACTGAGGGGTGAGCGTTCGAGTCCCGGTAGTGTCAAGAAATTCTCTTCTCTAAATCGTCCAGACCGGCTCTGAGGTTCACCCAAATTCCTAACCAATGGGTATCGGTGGCTATTTCTTCGATAGTAGATGGCAGGGACGTGAAGCAGACTGCACACATGCAGCTAGTGCCGAGGTAAAAAAAAAGTGGATCTATACATCCACTCCTCTATACGCCTTCATGGAATAGTGCTTAATTCGTTGGACACAAGGACAACTTTACCTTATTTTACTTACAGTAAGGGAGAAGCATGGGAAAAAGAGAAGCAAGGAGACCACAGGGAAGACCAAGGCGTAGGTGGGTGGACAATATTAGAATGGTTCTTAGAGAGACAGGATAGGATGGTATGGATTGGATAGATCTGGCTCAGGATAAGGACCAGTGGAGGGCTCTTGTGAGCAGGGTGATGAACCTTCTGGTTCCATAAAATGCTGGGAAATTCTTGAGTAGCTGCAGAATTGGCGGCTCCTCAAGAAGGGCTCAGCTCAATGAGTAAGTAAGTAAGTAAGTAAGTAAGTAAGTAAGGGAGAAGCAACCTGTCACGAACACCACACAACAACGAACATTCAGATTAAAATAACATAAGAACAAAGAGAATCTCAATATTTACAAATAGAATGAACAGAAATAAAATATGTAAAAAAAGGAGAGTACCGACATTTGGAAAGAGAATATTGGAAGGCCTACGAAAGAATGGTAAGTGTAAATATAAAATGGGGTTGGGACGGATCTCCAGGATACGAAGCATAAAGCTGTCATGCTCGAAAGTTGAGATTTACTGTTCACAAGACGTATGTGCGAGGAGACGTGAGAAGAATTGAAATATTTATGAGCAAAAATTTCTGTCTCTGACGTCTTCTGATTCTAAGAGATAAACACCTGCATATTGTCAGTAGTTTCGAAATTCCGAACAGTTAAATTAAACTATTCACATTATGTCGAAAACCTTTTTCATTTAAAGTGGGAGACACTGAAGAAATAAATCTTCATATCCACTTTACGAAGGAGAACTCAATGGAAAATTTAAGAATTTAAAATATTTCTTCAAAGCAACAGAATTTCTTTGATAGGAGCAGTTGATATAAGCAGCTCTAAAATATAAAACAAATGTGTACTGTGAGGCGCCGTGTAGTCTGCCACTATTCCACTTGACCCGCTAAATAAAGATGGAGAAGAGGATGCAATAAAACTGCCTTCAGGACCCTACATCGGAGTTCGGAAATACAAAAACCACAAGAACTGAACAATACAAAGTAAACCCCGCTTATAACAACACTCAAATGAACCTGAATATTATTTTCTCTTTCAGAGAGCTTACCGCGTAACCCTGACAATTATTTCTACTTAAAAGAATATTACGCAGAAGGTACCTCATTTCATTCGCTTTCATTTTGCTTTCCAAACCGCAAGTCAAATTTTCAAGCAGCACTCGTACATTATAGTCATGAATGTATGAGAAGTGGACCTCCTCGGCCCTTGCACCGCGACCTCAGTGGTCTCTTGTCCTTATACTCTGCAGTCATACTTTCAGTTACATGTATTCCCTCTGCCCTACCTGCCCATTTTCTTTTCTCCCCTCACTTTCTCTCTGTCTCTCTCTCTCTCTCTTCCCAGTAGTCCTATAAAGTATTCTGCATGTTCTTATATTCTTTTCTTCAGACGATTGGACTTTATTTTATCGCTATTGGGGTAGGACTAAGTCCCTTGCACTGCGGCTACTTCTGGCCTATTGTACCAGCCCCAGATGATAGGTGAGGGTGATTGTGGAGCAATTGGTGGAATGAAGATTGGCAGGGGAAACCGAAGTACTCAGAGAAAACTCGCCCCAGAGCCACTTTGTCCACCACAAATCCAACTTGATCAGACCCGGGATCGAACCCGGGCGCGCCGCGGTGGGAAGCCAGCAACTAACTGCTTGAGCTATGGCGCGGCCTAAGATTGGGCTTGGTTTCCCTTTTGTGGCAACAATGCCCCTCTTCAGATGCTCGTACCTTACTAGAAACAGTAAAAGAAAAGATAAAGCTGTCCCTGTAACATGCCACATCTTCCAGATAATCGTCAAGGTTGTGAGCCTTACATGACGGCCGCTCTTTACCCCCCCTCCCTCCAAGAATATTCCTGATAGTCATTTCTGTTAGAGGCCGAGCCGACCCCAGGGCCATAGTGCGGTTGGAAGGATTAGGTAAATTGAAAATTTCCACCTCATCGGGATTCGATCCCGCGACCTTCCGGCTTGTAGCAGAGTGCCTCAACCAACTACGCTACCATGTGCCATCCTGGGATCAGTACTGATCACAATTACTTATATATGAGGGTAGCAATTATTTAAGCAGGCTGGATTCGTTTAAATTCTTTTTAGCCTAATTTCCTTATTTTGAAAAAATGAACGATCCCCTTGTATCTGTATGTCCGTCTGTGTCTGCCAATATGTCGTTGCGACTTTACCCCTACTTTTGGTGTTATGAGGTTTATGAGATCACCTTGATATTTGTCTGCGTATCAACCCTAATATTTTTATGAGGCACGTAGGATCACCGTGCTCTCTCTGTGTCGGGACGTTCCCCTACAATTGTTTCCATTTTCCGTACGGTCCGCCTCGTATCAAGGGAAAGTAGACGTTTTATTCTACCCAGAAATATTTGCTTTTAATTTCAATTTTCTCAGCATTATCATATTACAGGCAATTTAATGTTAATTTTTTCTCGGGAACTAAGAAAGGTCACAACAAAGTCTGGCATTAATATAACCTAGGTTCCGTCTTGGATAAGTATTATTTATTGCGTAGGGTGTGCCGTAATTGCTGACACGGAAGAACGTAATGTTATCTCGGGAAAAGTTGCATATTTCCACGAATATACACTTTTGATAATAAGAGTTACCCCTTCAGAGTGAATAATGGGTTTTCATATATATTTCAAAATAAAATTTAATTTGTAAGTAAAGTCATATGCCACGCAAATCTAACAACCGAAGCATAAATTAACAAGCTAGAAATTTTGTAGTTAAATTTGGAATATCAAAGAATTCTCTTTCGGGGTTAACCAGTTCGAATTCGGCCGGGCTGCATGATATTCTGTGAAATTATTCGTAACTTTCTCAGTCTCTGGAAACAAAATGAGCGTACTACCTTAAAGTAGACCACGAAAGCCTTCTTCCAAATCCTAACGTTATAACCGGATCATTCACTATGATGTACAAGTACTATCTCATTAGACATTAGGCCGATATGAAATCTGCGGTGAGAAGAGACTCGATAAATTAACTAGTAAACAGTCTCTATAATAATAATAGTCAGGATAGCTCTGGTTGCTATGGCGACGGGCTACGGGATGGACGTCCTGCTTTCGATTCCCAGCAGCGCAAGATTTTTTTCTTCTCCACATTTTCCAGACAGGGTCTGAGGCCCACTCATCCTCCTATCCAGTGTGTTCTGGGGGCTTTTCACCGGGGGTATAGGGGCTTTGATACATCAATTCTTGCTGATATTCATGTGAAGTACCAGAAATATCCACCAGACAATTTTAAGAGAGACTGGAACGCCGACACAAAGATGCCGTGAACCTAAGCAGAATTTCTTTCCAATTGCTACTTGGGTGTTGCTTGGTTTACTCTTCAGCTCTGAAGACTGAGGCAATACGTTCCCCGCGAAAAGTCACTGAACTTCTCCTAGACTGCATGACATCACATCGCAGAAGTTCGTACTCTTAGTCACCGCAGTGGTAACCTCAGATCTAACGTTTGATGTCTTGTATATTTTCAAAAGCGAATCATGAACGGCAACCATCACTGAAATGTTAGTGTTAGTGTTAGTGAGTTCTCAGATTTTTTGATACCGTGACACCATAAAATAATACACAAAGTTAAGCGACACCTTCCCCTTCCATCTTTGTTAGGCTTCGAGCAGTGCAGTTCAGCAAACTGTTACAGATCGGTGGCAACAGGCATTATAAAAATGTTCCTCTGCAGTCACGAATAGTGTAGTTCTGCTACACTGTTACAGATCCCTATGAGGCTTTACGGTGGCAGCAGACACTATAAGAATGTTCCTCTGCAGTCACGTAGAGTGTAGTTCTGCTACACTGTTATAGATCCGTATGAGGCTTTATGGTGGCAGCAGGCACTATAAAAATGTTCCTCTGCAGTCACGTAGAGTGTAGTTCTGCTACACTGTTACAGATCCCTATGAGGCTTTACGGTGGCAGCAGACACTATAAGAATGTTCCTCTGCAGTCACGTAGAGTGTAGTTCTGCTACACAGTTACAGATCCATGTGAGGCTTTACGGTGACAGCAGGCACTATAAAAATGTTCCTCTGAAGTCACGTAGAGTGTAGTTCTGCTACAATGTTACAGCTCTTTATGAATCTGTACAGTGTCAGCAGGAACCTATACAGCTTTATAAACTTTCTATACCTACAAAATTGTTCCTGTACAGATACGAGGGGTGCAATTATGAATATTGTTGCAGATCTGCATCAATCTATACGGTGTCTACAGGCATTTCAATAGCTTCACAGCTTCTATACCTAGAGTAGGTTATAAAATGTTCCTGTACATTCACTGAAAGTGCAGTTCAACTCATTATTGAACATTCTTATCGGGCTCTCAGTGCCACATAAACACAGATCATTTTACGGCCACTCGAAGGCCATGGAAAGCCACAAAATGTTCCTGTACACTCGTGAAATAATTTGGGAAAACTTGGCATCAACAGCAGCATTTTCCAAAAGCACTTATATTAATTTTAATAGACCTGGTAAAACGGTACTTAGATTCTCCTACATTTTAAGTAATTATATACAAACTCATGACTCTTCTTAGAGCTGTTCGCGACCCAGAGTTTGAGAAACTGTGCCATAGACGAAACATGTTTAGCCTTTCGGGAATTCGCTGCTGTCTGCTTAAGAAATCGCAACGCTTGACATTTCAGATTAACGACGCTCTTTGAACTGTAGATGTTATTCAGCGTTGGGTGGTTTAGGAGGATGTTTATGTGTGGTACCTTGCCAAAGACTGGAATGGAAGCTACCGTAACTCATTTAAAAGTAATCTCACAATTGTTTGGAGGGTCTGAGGAAAGTCACAAAAATTATCGGAATAATCAGTGCTGAATTTCGAACTGGCCATCGAATATATGTCAGCCACATCATTTTTTTTAATTCGCTTAGTAGGGGGTGGAGTCAAACTGGGTCCACTCGGCACGGCGACCACTGATTGGCCTATTGTAGCCTGCTCGGGGTGATTATGATGCAGAATTTTGGTGGAATGAAGAATGGCAAGGGAAACCGAAGTACTCGGAGAAAACCCGCCCCTGCGCCGCTTTGTCCACCACAAATCCCACTTGACCAGACCCGGGATCGAACCCGGGCAGCCGCGGTGAGCAGCCACATCATAGTTTCATCTTACGTGTTCGGGAATACCGAAATTATCAGTAAGTATACTTCATAATTTTTATAACTTTTAATAAACTTCATGAAATTCATTTTGTTTCAGATCAAGGAGGTTACTGCAGTAGTTACCAAAGAAATAACATCTTCGCCCGCAGACCCCGAGACACCTCCATCAGCATCGGGCATTTTGAACAATGCAGCCGAAATTCCTTAGCTCTTAATATGACAGTAATTAATAAGAGGCTCATGTCATATTATTGAAGGAGATGTGACAGACAAGTATCTGAAAGCGTTAGCAATGGAAATGTTGCATCACTCACGTCGTTTCGGCCAGTCTTCGTGTGCTAAACTTATTAAAATGTGTTACAAAATTATCAGAAATTAATGCATCAACGGATACTATTCTATGTGTCAATTATTTATGTTGTTTATCTTATATATTACCGGAAATGAACTACCGCTAAATTTAAATATAGGCTGAATGAAAAGTAGAAAGAACTCAGAGAAATCCTGATATTTTGGAAGAAACGGGATGATTTTGCTCTAAACAAGATATTGTGAAAGAGAAATCCAATATGCAATAATGAAATGTTTCGTACCCTTGTCGGAATATCTGTGAATGTATTAACATTTGTGTGCATTCGCACTAAATTTGGATATTTCTGCTCCTTCAATACGCCTGCTTCTCATTGAAGAAATCTGAACCACTTGCATAAGCGCAACGTTCAGAAATTTATAGCGAAAAAATTAAAGAGGATAGTACTTGGTGGCATTTATGTGAGCAGTGCCATTTGTTTGAGATGTGAGTTGGAAGGTCTCACAACGAAGGGAAACTTGCGAGACCTGAGCACATGCTGGAATGAAGTATTGAAATGTGTCTAAGAGAGACAGGTTTTGAGAGTGTAAACCACGTGGGATTGATTCAGTAGAGGGTAAAAGGGAAGGATTCTGTGACGGTGGTGATGGGCCTTCGGATTCCATAACATAAAGAAATGACTTGATTTGTTAACAACACCAACATCTGTGAGATGCTGAACATGATGTTGAGATGTTGAACATTGTGAGATTCTGTGTTTCTTACGGTCATAACTAAGAAGTGTATTATATTCTGGGATGTTATGCAGTGTAATTTGGTACAAGTTAACCGACGTTTCGGAGGAACGTAATGTCTCCCTTTTCAGGGCGAAGAATAGGACAACTGAGGACCAAGTAGCAAGCAAAATGTGTTATCCCATGAAACAGTCCTCTTAGAGTTAATATTTCTTTTAAGAACTGTTCTTTTTATATATAACAGGAGACTATGAAGCTTCCGTACGACTGTATGATCAGTTAAATGATGATCGATCTTGCTTTTTCATAACCTAAATGTCCCAGTTTCCTTACAATATGTTTGTAACATTAAAATCCGATATGATGCAATCAGATAGGGAAGTGGAAAATGAATTAAATAACCCCTCACGAATACACGTTTACATATGGAAAGAGCCGGTAATTATATTTTGATAAACGTAACATTCCACGCCTCTTAGCTCGGCATTTCTGGCACTTTTCTTTTTGTATTTTATTTCATTTGTAAACGAATGACAGTTGTTTACTTGGTATGTATGGTATGTATGCGTATTTATTGTAAACAATATGGTTTCAGAAAAATAAAAAAATGATTGAGGAACCTTGGTTCTCAGGATTAAATTTGGAAACCTTAGTTCATTTCATCTAATTCATAAGTATCTTTGGGCACGTTATCCACATTTAAAAATGTTGGATAATATTGTAGCATTTGAACAGGAAGGGGGGGGGGTCTGTATCAAATGCTCCAATCATTGTTTGCTGGGCAACGTTTCGGTAAACACCGCCTGAAAAGCCGGAATAGCAACGAACAAGCAGAAGTCCGTTTGCTAGGGAACGGCTCGCTAAAACTCATTCTCATATCAACAAAGATTCAACAAAGGTTTCCGTGGATACGAGGAACCTTGGGATCGCCAGGTGCTTCTCCTATAACGGATACAGGAGACCAGTAGCTTCTGTTCGGTCCTTCCGAAATTATAAAATGGAGTTCATTCTTGAATTCAATTCATTCATTCGTAATAGGATTCAGAATGCAGTTCAATAGTTGCATATTCAGCTGTCAAGTGTTAATCAGGTAAGAACCGTTACCGAACAACGACTAGCAAGCAGACATTGAAGACTTTATTTTATGTGCTATAATTACAGTAAGCTATAGAGTGTTAAAATTCAGCAGATAAATTTTTATGTGTTTCTCTATATTCACGCTGTCGTTCGGCATTTAACTTTGTTCGTTTGGGTACATTATTACCCATGTCTTCTTCTAAATGCTTCTTTTTCCTGTACTCTCATATATGCAGCACGGCTATCACCAGCGGACATTTAATCAGTGCGTGACGTCATGCGTTGGAAGCTTGCCTATAGCATTGCTTGTTACAAACAAATGGTCATAACTCCTAAACCGTAAGCGACTGACCAAAACGGATTGAATTCTGAGAAGCTCTAATTTATTAGCGTATTTCAGTCGCAATATGTCCTGATGCATCTAGGTGCTGCGCTGAGCACATTTCCAAGGTAAAGAAGTCAACAATAGAACTTCGGTTACTTAGTAGCGAAGGTACCAATACTTACAAGTTATTACAATTTCAGTTACTTACGGCTTCATTCCATTTGAATCTTCGTATAATAATAATATTTTAAAAGTTAAAAATAAAAATAAGAGCACAGGAAAATTTATACGTTGTTATTTATGTCACGTGGGACACTCTGTAGCGTATTTGGTTGAGGCACCATGCTACAAGCTGGAAGGTCCGGGATAGTCTCGATGAAGTGGGCTTTTCAATTTACCTAATACTTCCAACCGCTATGGACCTGGGGTTGACTCAGCCTCTTAACAGAAATGAGTACCAGAAATCTACCTGGGGCGTAAAGGGCTGCCGGTGCGTAAGGCTGACAACCTTACCGCCATCTGTGAGCAGACTTTCTACAGAAAATGTGGGAGCCTTGACGTCTCGCAACCTTATGGGCCTTCGCGGCCTGTTACAGGGATAGCTTTACCTTTTTTTTCTGTATGTATTAGTACTTATAAACGGGTTTTGGATTGGTGAACAGATTTATTGACCACTTATAGGTAGTAACTAGAAATAATTACTACACAATTGCTCATTTCCACACTACAAATTGCTCAACACTAAGTCTCCTCAGTCTATCTCCACTAGTCTTTACTAGGTAACATCTCTCCGCAATGGTAATTCCTCTGCAGTGTCTTCACTTGACGTTTCCTTGTAAAAATTCGTAGCAATGGAGACCCTTCAGCTTCCGTTGACCGTTGGTTAAGAGTCCAGAGGTGAACCCTCAACTGCACTGCATTCATTCGCTCCGTTCTCGTTCTGATTTGATTCTGTTCAACAGTACTTATAGTCTCGGAGAGGATCCACAGAGAACACCTCCTGCATCACCTCTGTTTTGTTGTGTGACTTTACCGCGCAAGCTTAAGCTCCATAGCAACGGCTGTTGTTGACAGAGTTACCCTTAGCAACTGGTCTATACACCACAATACTTATAATACGTAACGTTTAGTCACAGGAAAGTATCACACTTTCTCTGGCATTCCATTGTCAGATTTCTAATATTGAACCATTTTCCAGCTTCACAAAGCGTCGTGATATGGATATTGACACACCCTCTTCGTTCTTATTAGGTCCTAGATTAGAATTTCGGGTCGGTGACATGTTATTCTAACTACAAATCTTTTTCTCTTCGGTAGACCTTCCAAGCTAATTCTGGAATAGTACGATCAAAGGTGTCAGGACCTCCTCCTTCAACGTCCTGTACAATTCATTATTCAATCATCATTCATTAATCATTCTTGATTAACTGACTATGTATAATATAAAATTATGCGGTTAAGAAGGCCTCATTAATTAAAAAAACCGCGTTAAAGCATTAAGGAAACGTAACATAAGTGAATGTTAATAATCTTGGTATGTGTTTTGGACTCCACTAAACAGGCTGACACTACAAGGATCCAACAGGAAGTCCAGACATGCATTAAACAGCAATAAAAGTATCAGTCATCAGGTATATAAAAACAAGAAAACTTTTAAACTATAGTATTTAAATATCTACAATTTTAACCTGCGTTATCGTTATGAATGCATAAAGCACTACACCACGATCATTAGTAACCCTAAAGAAAGGAAACTTACTGTTCTGTGCCTCTAAAAATGGCCCACGAAGACCGAAACATGTAAGGCTAAATAAATAATTGGATTATTAAACAAAATATATATTTACATTGGATTATTTGTCGTTCACAAATTAATACTGTAACCGTCAAGAAGTATCGTGTTGGAATGGAAGTTAATAAGTTTCTGGGGTAAAGCATGAAGTTACAAAACAGGAAGTTCAGCAGTTACTAACACGATTCTATGAAAATAACATCAACAAATCCCTTGCAGCTGTATCAATTGTAATACTATTCCACTACAACACAGATATTATCCGTTAATTTGTTTCATTGTGTCATAAGCGGATATTCTATTCGTATAAACTAGCCTAAATAGCCGCAACCAACAAAAAGGATACACGTTATCAAGTTTATCGTCGTTCATGTGTATTGCGTCGAACCGGCACGTATTATTCAAAATTGCACTTTCTACTCTCATCTGAAAAGAAACCAAATCATTTAGCAGTTACACTGTGAAGGTCCCATTAAAGTAAATTCAGTTCCGTATTACAGATGAAAGTAGTGTTACGCATTTATGGAGGTCTGTATTTTAAAAAGAAGAAAATATATGGCTTTCGAAAGAAATTATGCTATTTGGTGATGTGTGTTTATGTTACGATGCTTTAGGTATCTAGACTATATACAGTCGCATAATAGGAAGACATGAATGATGAATAGGGAAGTATCTGGAAGGAATCGGTCACGGTCTAATCGAAGTACTGCCAGCACTGGGTCTGGTATGTATCCATAATCCGCCCATTTCTTTCTTGGAATTTACGCATTAGCTGATGGAAAGATACATTATGAAGAAAGCAGTCTGCATTTACCGGTTCTCACGGTCTCGTCGCTTGCGGATTTCTTATATTTTTTCCTTCTACCCTGAAGATGGAGGCGATATGTTCCTCCGAAACGTCGGTTAACACCACATATACACGGTGCCAAATCCCAGAAGACTGCTTTCTTCATAGTCACCGCCGTGAAAGCCTCAAATCTTACAAGATACATTATGTTCTACATTTATTTTAAGTAACAAAAAATAAAGCAAATAATGACTTTCATGCAGTTGAAAATGTCTCTTGAAATGACCATAGTCAAACACAGCGTAATATAAAAAAATAAAGTTATATCCCTGATGGATCCAGTAGGCAGCATGATACCATGTCCTAACATCCCTTTTTGCGAGGAAGTTCTGCGAACCGAGTCAGCGAGAGAGATGGAACATGTTTATTTTTTCAAGAACCCCACGCCGCTATAGAGCAGGTCTGGCGTGAAAGTAAACTGTAAGAGCGCCCGCCGCAAGGTTAGGTAACAAATCATACAACTTTATTTTAATGGTGTTCCCTGGTACTTCAACTGCCAATATTTAACCTCCACCCACCATGTATACGTACCAAACAGCCGATTTGAATGCAGAGTGAATCAGAAATTCCTCAAATTCATGCACTCTTCTGTTATATGATCAACATCCAGTTACTTAAGACTGATGTCTGGATGAAGTCTGTTATTCTATTTAGACAAATCAAGGTTACAGAACTATGGAAATATATCGGAGTTGTAATTATGTTGGCACCTCGAACATCTGCAGCATTGCTTCTGACGCTAATGATGAGACAGGCAAACGGCGTAAGTCAAACATTCCTTTCTCTTGCGATTCTGCAGCTGGTGACTAGCTGTATTATGTCGACTTTCGGGTATGAGCTGCATTGTTTGTCGAGATCCTTCTAACGTTTCTGTGAAACGTGGAAGGTGCCATCTTCAGGGTGAATATTGTTTTACACATCTTTAATATTTGCCCTTAATATGAAATAAAATATTTGTGAAACGTTGGAAATATTTTAAGAAAAGATTGTTCAAAACTTGAAGACTACGTCTGTGCTTTTCTTCACTCACTGTTAACCTTAAAGAAAACCATAATGTTCCTTTATGACGTCATTTCCTCTATGACTCTGATACTCACTGTCAAGATCCATGTAAAAAGGCAAAGTTATCTCTGTAACAGGCCGTCGAGGACCATAGGGTTGTGAAACATCGAGGCTCCCACATTTTATAGTTAATCGGCTCACAGATGGCTTTGATGTTGTCGGCCTTACGCGCCGGCCGCCCTTTACACCGAGGAATATTCCTGGTACTCATTTCTGTTATGAGGCTGAGACGACTCGCGGACCATAGTGCGGCTGGAAGCATTAGATTAATTGAAAAATCCAATGATCTCACGGGAATCTAACCCGCAACCTTCCAGGTTGTAGTATAGTGCCTAAATCAACTACGCTACCGCGTGCCCCCTCAAGACGCATGTAAACAAAGTGAATAATGATAATGTATGAACTATTTATTAGTGCCCAATGTGGAATTCAAAAAAATCGGTACTGAAGATAATTGGA